CCCTCCGGCAACTTTACTTTGGCTTCGCCGGAAGCGGCAACCCACACGAGGGTTGCCGCTATGGCGGAGACAAACATCGTACGTCGTACAAACCACATCGAGTCGCACCGTAAATGGTGATGACCAGACAGCATTGTTAGTCTATCAGTGTATTTTTTTGTCGGTCAATCGAAGATCTTGTTTTGTGATATGCTAAAGATGGCAGTTGGGGCAATATATAAGGAAGGTTTTTGTTAGCTTAGCTAAGATATGAGTCTCTTTCAGAAGTAAATACAGTGTACTAGCAGCTGGAACTTCCATATTTAAGTTGCCAACCCTATTTTAGTTTCTTTTATTATGATGTTAATTATAGTAAGGTAAGATGAATCTCTAATGTTAGATTGTTAGAGCTTCTTCGGTGAGCATGTTTTTAGTTTTATAAAGCTTATTAGTCAATTTCTTACCAAACACGTAACTTTTGATTTCGTGCGTGAGATTGTGTAATAATAAGAAAAAATAAGTTTGGAATTACTTTTCTGACTGCATTGGTTGAATCTACTGTAGATGAGCATTTTAGCTATTTTCTCATATATTTTTTTCTTTATTTTATTAATAAAATACTCCTATTTTAAATATAATTTTCACGTAAATCAACAGAAGCAGCCAATTCAGCCACTCAGTCAGGACTTCATAAATTTCAGCAATATCAACTGATTCTAATATTACCAAACATGCTCTTAATGTCACAAGCCGATTTTTCGTATTACTCTTGATAATTATTTTTGTATCACGTTGCTGAAGTCTAACACCAATAATTTATAAAAATAAAAGGGTGTTATACTAAGATCGTGGATTACTCTTCTTGTCCGAATGATCCTTTGATTCCTTAATATATACAAATAATCATCATAAAATTTAAGATTTCTTATCGTTGTTTGAGAGGGGTTTCCAAAATATTACTTAAATGAAGTTTATTTCCAAAAAGCATGATTGAACTCGTTATGTGTACTGTATTATAATTACTAGGAAGGGTACTAGTTTTCTTAACTACACACTTAAATGTCATAAATGTGTAGTTATTTTCAATTTCAAATATAGGAAGGGTACTAGTTTTTTTATTATTAAACCACAAAAATTAAATGCCATTTCTCTTAAAGTTAAGCAAATTTACTGCGTTCAACCTTTTTTCAACCAATCCTTTCAAATGGGCTTTTAGTTCAACTGTTTTGTTATCTGCAATTCTGGAAATTTATGAGCATATATGGTGGCATAAATTGAGCTAGTGGAGGATGGCGGGATATATGGATTGCTCGAGTGCATTTGATAATACCAATGTGCAGATTTATTATTTACGGAGTATTATATTATATACGTATGCCATACTCCAATCATTAAATTAAAAAAAAATGATTTGTAGAGGTAGAAAATATTATAAAAAGGAAAAACTAAAAAACGTGAATTTGAAAGTAGGTAGATGAATATGATGACAGTATGAGACTACGTAGTAGAGAAGATGAAAGATTAAAGACATTTATGCCTCATCTTAAAATAATGTTACGTGATCCTAAAAATAGAACCTATGGAGCATGGAATATAATTCGGAGATAAAATTTTGTCAAAGAAATGTGGAGCCAGTAAAACTGATCGGGAGTAGAGGCTGTTTTGAACTATCTATTTTTCTTAATTAAATTGGTTAATTATACAATATTTGATTATGATGATCAAAATATCATCTGTCTTCAATTAGCTAGAACGAAAATTAAAGTAGCAGTGATTTTTGCTATTTTTAATTATTATACCAATTCAATTACTATAATCAAATAAATAGTACTCCCATTCCTAAAGTCATTTTTATTTTTTAATTTAGAAACTTTTATCTATTTACACAGCTACCATCAATGACTTTATATTATCCTAACAAGGCAACATGAATTGTTAATGTGTACTAAGATGTGTCAAAATGTGGATTTACTTTCAATATAAAAAAAAAATTGGAAATCACATAAAGATTTATTAATTAATGTCTTAAATATGTTTTTAGTCCCCGCAAATATTAAACACTTTGTTTTAAGTCTTTGCAAGATAATTTTTGTTTTTCATCCTTGTAATATGCACTATTTTGATTTTAGTCCTGGTTCCAAAACCACTTTACTTCAAAAAAAAAGTTATTGTGATTTGCATAAATATACATAAAGTGTCAAGTACAATTGTGTGTGGGGAGGTGGTATTGGTTTAATTTGGTATATGTGTCATCGTATTATACGTTGACGATCTCAAAACAATGTTTAAAACGGGGCCCCTACATATTCCTTGCTCAAAATCACCTTAACGTTTTAATAGGTAATGTCCAAAAAAAATGTAAACGACTTGTTTTGCGGGCCACATTAAATGAGAAAGTGATCCAAAAGGTTTTTTTTTTAAAATATCTTTGTCACTCAATTAAGTTAGAAGTGATCCATTGAATCTTCTCTCTTAGAGCTGCCGGTGTACATAGCTTAATCGATAGAGGGAGGTGTCACAAGTCACAACAGATAAATTTTGAGTTGGAGTCCTAACAAATGCCAGGAGAGATTACTATATACTACATTTTTTAATTGCAATTTTTTTCCAACGAAGGAGGGTTTATGGATCACAAGAAGTTTTCTTAATATTACAATTACAATAGTATGTAAAAAGACATAGGGTATCTTCAAGTACTAGTTGCGTTAAAGCCTCACTTTAGTAGTAACTCATGTTCATTTTTATATTTAAGTGATCATAACATACTCAAACTTACTTTCGTCATAATTTTGTAAATAAATGTTATTTTTATTTAATAATATATTTTTTTGATAATATATTTTTTGACAATCCTTTCTAACCTATATAATATTTGTTCTATGTTAAGGTCAACATTCTTAAACTAGGATGAGATTCAAAATTGTGTCATCTTTGGGAATGTCACAATGATGTTATCAAACTACAAAGTACTTCGCATTTTAATACTACATACGTAATATTTTTAAATAAACCTCTTTTGATTAATTTCATGATCAATATTCCATCTTCTAATTAAGTTAGGGCGAAGAGTGTTATTGAGAGTAGTTGAGGCAAAGTGATCATGAACAATGATCATGACTCGTTGAGGTATGTACATTAACGAAACTTGAAGATATGTGCTCCAAAAACTCCAATTAAGCACCTCACATTCGATCATCAATATAATTATTATTCGTAATTCATAATTTCATACAACTCATCTAATTCGAAATTTTGAATGACATTTCTTCCTCGATCGAGTATTATATTAAGGAAGAAATAACATGCAACAATTGTGATTTATGATTTAATTTCCTGATTTTCTTTTTTCTTCTGATGTCTTTGTGGAATTTTGCATGTTGTGGAGAGGTTTTGGTTTGGTCTCCTTCTATTATTGTAGGTATTTCTAATTTTTCTTAATAAAATCCGTGAAATGTTTCCGGGCATTTACCCGACCGATTTTAGTGATTTCCCTACTGAGTAAAAAAAATGTGATTTATGATCAAGATCGATGGTGAAATACTTTGACTTTTGAGAACATATACATCAAACAGTTTTCATCAGACTTATGAATTTGCATGATACTTATATGAATTTGCATGAGACTAATGTTGACGTGAAGCGGTGAAGGGCCGGTGTACAATGAGAATGATTAATCATAACTCGAACGTAGATATATACTACATACTATGTATAATACATGATTGAACCAGTAGCTATGACCTAACCTCAATAGTGTATGTGGCACTGTGGTAGTAACTTTGTGTAAAATAAATTTGATATGAAAGATATATTGACATTTTGTTAAACCAAGAATAAATAAATCTATTTAAATAGTTTGATGTGTCTCTATTAATTAGGATCCTAGAATCAATACACGGGGCCACTTTTTTAGCAAAACAACGTAGCACCGACCCACTTTTATTTTTATTTCTTTTAAAAATGAAAAATATATCTAGGTTGTGACATGCAGGGCCGGCCAAGGGGGTGTGCAGGGTGTCCGACCGCACAGGGCCCAAAAATATGGAAGGCCCAAAAAAATAAATTAGTAGTAGTACTACTAGTCTACTACTCCGTATAAGCTAGTCAGCCCAATAGCGAACAAAAAGGTGCGGGACGAGCATATCAATCTGCGAAAGAGGAAGCGCATAGGCCAAAGGGCATAACGAGTGACTGAGCGAGACGAGCAACGGGCGGACGACTCTCCGTCTCCAGGCTCTACTCCAGCCTCGAGCCATCCTGATTTCTAAGTTGCTGCGGCGATTCGGACACATCTAGGACGGAAGGACTCCACTATTCTAGGTATATAAATTCGTAACTAATAGAGAGTAATGGTTCTTTATGAATGAATTTTGTAATCTGAGTTCAACAAAATGATATTAATAGGTTCTTAGGCTGTTAAATTTGTTTTTGTTTCACTATATAACTTTATACATAAATAAATTTTTTCCTTGGATTTATTACTGCTAGTTAACACTAGCAACTTCTATTTTGAAATAATTTTTTAATAAATTACAACTACTCCGTATTAACAATTTACCATTTCAATTGAAATAGCATTTCTATTAACGATAGAAAAGAAAGGTCTGATTTTTGTTGTTGCACAGGGCCCTCTTTTTCTCGGGACCGGCCCTGGTGACATGTTACATGTCGATTGGGCTTTATAGATGTAATTTATAAAAAGCATGACATAGACATAAATTACAAAGAGAGTAGTTCAGGTCACAGAATATCCACTTAACATTTTAATCCATTTTCAAATGGTCAAAACAAATTAAAGATTCATTTCTCGCTGTTAGTAAGGTATTGGTCCTACTAAGATCTCTCGTTCCATTTATTGTGTTAAGGCCCTCACCCTAAGTTTAGCTCTATTCCCATTTAACTCTTCACGAGTCTGCTCCTTACCTAACCTATTTTTGGATTGTTGCCTCACTTAAGGAACTCTGCCCGCTGCCTTTTGTTTGGGCTCCCCCCTTTGTTTGTCTTTGTTAGACCCGTGAATATTTGAGGGGTCTCTTCTTTGTCTTGGCTGATGACTTCTCTGGCTATATGAGCCTGCGTAAAAGAGAGAGTACGTGATGTGAAACTTAGACTCCTTCCATCCTTAGTGAGAGGTTCCTTTGTGAGAGCTTGTTAATGGGAGTGTGAGGGATATACCCCTGCTGAGTGGTGGAGTGGCTAAACACCTTAGTGGTGTGTGTGAGTTGAGCCTAGAGGTTGGAGCTTGAGTCAGAGACGGAAATACTCCCAATAGTGGCATCAGAGCATGGTTCCACTGTCTGCTGCCGTCCATCACCGCCATCGCCATCGATCGTCGATTCGAGGTCGTTGAAGGTCGCTGGTCATCTCGTCGTACGCCGGCTAGGTCACTGCTGAAGCCTGGTCGATCGTTCTGTCCTCTGCAAACCAGATTTGCAGTTCATCGCAGAGACCTGCGCCGACCAATTTGGTCTTCGCCTGCCAACCGTGGTAGCTTGTCGCTGGAGATAGGTCGTCATTCATCGTCGCCGACTGAGGACGCCAGCCCCATATGTTTGGCATTTAGCGGTTAGCGATTAGCGGATGACGAGATATGTTAGCGGGTTGTCAATAGCAGATTCAGTCGGCGAGTTTGACTAGCGGAATAAATTGGCGGGTTTCCAAGAGATGTTTGCTAATTTAGCTGTTTGGCCATAAAAATTAGTAGAAAACACCATACTTCAAAACGCTAACAAAAACTCTCCTATTTGCAGCGTTTTCATTGCGGCGGTTCCATCCAAAAACGCTAAGGTCGAATAGCTATTTAACAAACAGCGCTTTCATTTTTTAAAACGCTAAAAGGAGTCAAAACACTATTTTTTTTACTGAAACGCCATTTTTGAAACACCCTCATTGGGAATGTTTGTTAAACAAAGTTTCAGCTGAAAATGGTGGTTTTATCACCTTTAGCGTTTTCAATTAGTGAAAAAGTTGTTTGGTAAATAGCTGCTCGACACTAGCGTTTTTTACGGAAACACTGAAATGGAAACGGAGTAAATATGAGAGTTTTGGGTTAACGTTTTGAAATATGACGTTTTCTACTAATCTTATGGCAAAACACTAAATTACCAATCATCTTCTAAAAATCCGCCAACTTAATTTGCTAGTCAAACCCGCTAACTGAATCCCCTATTGACAACCCGCTAACATAATCCGCTATCTGTTATCCGCTATTCGCTTACCACTAACCGCTAAATGCCAAACACGCCCATTGTCCTTTCCGGCCTTGTATAGAACTTCACATATACTCGATATTATCTTAATAGAGTCCTTTTCCTGTCCGGCCAGGCCGGACGGGAGGCTCGTCCGGCCACCTCAATTTGAGGTGGTTCCCGGTGATATTTTTGCCCAAATTTTTTGTGTATGTTCCTAATCAAGTCTAGTTCATCCATACCAAATTTGAGCAAAAAATTCAATCTGGAAGGTCGTCAAATGATTTTTGCAAGTTAACTGGTCCGGAATATACATATAAAATGCAGTGAACTTGCAAAAATCATTTGACGACCTTCCCGATTGAATTTTTTGATCAAATTTGTTATGGATGAACTAGACTTGATGAGGAACATACACAAAAATTTTGGGCAGAAAATACCACCGGGAACCACTTCAAATTGAGGTGGCCGGACAGGGGAGTGGTCCGGCCTGGCCGGACCTGAATAATTCTCTATCTTAATATATAAACAAGACACTACAAATAAATTGCCAACGGTAAATTCAGCAGAGATTTGTTGTTGGTATAAGATAGCTATACCAATAGTAAATCCCTTTCGTTGGTGATTATAATATGAATTCCAACATTTTACTAAATCTGATGGTACAAATTATATGTTTTCCTACACTAAAATTAAATCGGTTGGTATAAAGATATGATCGATATACCAACATTTATAAATAAAATCGTATGTAAAAGTTTGATAAATTTGTTTTTAAAAGGGATAGGTGACATGTGCTTCTCTCTCTAGGGTTACCGCTCGGGCTCTGGGAGTAGTTTTAGCTTTCTGTTTTCGTTGAGACGAAGAATGGCGCGAGTGTAGCGAGGGCTTCGAGACCATTGACAAAAGCGAAGGTGTTTGACAACCTCGTTGCTTCACGATTGTTGAAGGCAGACACAGGGGAGTTTTGGTAGGTAGACGCAGCAACCATCAACGAAATTCGACTTCATTTGCTATGGAGGAGGTCGTGTTCCAGTACAAAAAATGGCTATTGGGAAAGAAAACAACAACGTGAATTTTGATGACGAGGAAGATGGAGTTTGTGATTCAACCGCGAAGGAGGCTGCATATCCGGTGGTGGGAGTGGTTGTCACGGACCGGAAAATCAGGTTTCATGCTTTGAAGGATCTGTTGGCTTCAATTTGGCGACCAGGCAAAGGGGTGTCAATCAAAGAGATAGACAATAAGAGGTACTCCCTCCGTCCCCCTAAGTTTGGGACGGAGGGGTGTGGTGTGGTTTTTAAGAAAAAGTGTAATTGTGTGGTTGATATTGAATTGATAAAGTGTAAATAAAGTAAGAATGAATTCTAACCACTCAAATGTTACCAAATATGGTATGGGACAAACTTAGTGGGACGGACAAAAAAGGTAAAACGGGACAAACTTAAGGGGACAGAGGGAGTATTTGTTTACTTTTTATCATATTGTGGATATGAATCGTGTTCTGGAAGATTGACCTTGGTTGTTTGTGAGGAATTTATTATTGCTTATGGTGGTTGATCCAGATAATATTCCACATAAGATGAATCTGTTTGTGAGGAATTTCTGGGTGCAAGTACACAATGTTCCTTATAGTTTTATGAATATAGGTAATGCTAGAAGAGTGGGTAACTATATTGGGGAGTTTATTAGGTTTGATGAGAGCCATTTTAAGGAAAAGTGGGAGTCTTATTTGAGAATTGGGGTGAGAATGGATGTGAGAAAACCCCTATAGAAGGGTTCTACCCTCACGAGAGGGGGTATTGGACACTGGGTGGTCTTTAAATACGAAAAATTATCTAATTTCGGTTTCATTTGTGGGGTGATTGGGCATTCAGAGATATTCCGTCCCTTGAAATATGAGGAGGATATAGTGTTGGAAAAATCTTTTGGGGTAGATTTTCGAGCAGGTGGAGGGGGGAAGACTAGTCCAATAGGGGGTAATAAGTGGCTAGTGGAAAAACCGTCAGGTTCAAGACATCAGAGGAGGACAGATCAGGAGGGTGAAGGTACTGGGGAACAGGGAAGAAGAGAGGCTACAACTGGTACAAAAATAGTGTTACCAAGGAAGAAGGTAACGGAAGTGCTGAGAAGGTACTAGTGGACCAGAAACGTGGAAGAATATGGGAGGAACAGGCACAAGAGGACACAGCAGCCGAGGTCATGTGAGGGATGCTTTTACTGAAGAAGACAAACTTTGGCTTTTATTTTATTGTTGTTTTGCGTTTTAATTTCCACGTTGGAATTGTTGTTTTTGGTTTTCATTTTATTTGGTGTTGTAAGACTTTTGCGTTATGATTGGGTGATGAGAGTTCTGCGGTAGCCGTATATGGCTCAATTATGCCCAATGTAGGATCAACGAGTTATATTGCTTTGTCAAAGGTGATTAACTCCGAGTCTGGGCGGATAGTTACATGTGATTCTTTTGTTATTTTAAGCCCTATTTGAATGATGTGATATTAATATAAACCCCCTTTTTCCAAAGAAAGGATAAGTGACTAACGAGTTGATCCTAGGGAAATACTTGTGATACATTGGATAGGGCGGTCGATCGTTTATGATACACGGAGTACGTAACTCGCTTGGTTCAGAATCAGACCCTGAATGGTCCCATATACTTTGTACTTTTTGAAATAATATATTTGTACTAATATTATAGTTATATCATTTCTCATAATCATAATATGTGTACTAATATTTTACATCACAAAATTTCTAATTCATTTTAAATGCAAGCACAATTATTTTTTTAGATTTCTACTCTTAGAATAAATGATTTAAAAAAAAGGATCGAACCAGAAAGAGAGCTGCCCGAGTAACCGGAATCAATTTATAGCTGGGATATAACAGGTCGGCCGATCCCGGCCCCAATATTTTTTCTCGGGAACCGAGACCTGACCGAGCCGGGTCCACCCTCAAATATAACTAGCTCAAATTCACTACTTTTTTTAACTAAATTAAATGAGTCGAATATGGGCTTTGACGAGTCAATTAAGTTCGAGCATAGATCTTTTCAGGTATCACATGAGAGTCCTATGAATGAGGAAAACAAAGTAGATGAAGATGGATGTGTATTATGACTAAGATAAAGTATTTTTTTCTTTTGAGCTGAAATTTGTTGGACAATATAAAAATATTTTTAAAAAAATACACCAAATTTAAAATATAGACATTTTTAAAATTTGGAGTGGACCAGGGCCAGAGTTGCCCCCTAGCTACGTCATGTTTGGTCTGGTTTGGTCTGATCTAATTTGGTCTGATTTGTTTAGTTTAGTATGTTCTGAACTGGTCTGGTCTGATCTAGTAAATGTCCGGTCTTTATGTGTTTTATAACTATCTAAATCTGGTTTGATATATTCTGTTTAAATTTGATTTGGTTTATTCTTTTTAAATCTGGTCTAATTTGACTTGTGAAACTGAAAACACTTAGAAAACATCCAAAAACGGGTGAGAAAAACAATACGGAGTATAATATCTCAAAAATCGTTGGTGTATGCGGAATACCATTTGAGGGTAAGAATACCGTTTGATCGAGAGTACTGAATACCACCTCACTCACATGAAGGGCTCATTCACGGAGGCGTACTTTAATTCTTTACCCACAAATTTAGACGCGTACCCTTTGTTGCTTTCCTAGCTTAGCTTCTACTATTGGGCATATTTATTATCACGGCTGCACTATTTATTAGGGTCACCCAACTTATTAGTTGGACAGAAATGGAAAATCATATTATATGTAAAGAAACCAAATACGAGTATACGACACTCGTTCGAGCTCGTTTAGTCTGAATCCTCTAAACTCACGATATTACCATAATACCATTGGTGCAATACACGGAATTTGGTACGAATTACTCGACTTTTCGTGTCAAATAGCTCGATTCAAAGTGTTTTGGCACCGATTTTACATAATCTCTGCTAAATCATTGTCAATCCAGTGTTTTTTGGTAGTGTGATTTAAGTAAAAACTTATACTACTTCCCTTTCATAACGTAAGATGCATTTGAGTTTGGGATTGATTTAAAAAAAAGGATAACTTACTATTGCAACCTAGAAAAGGTAAAACAGCGGAAAATGAATTCACAAAAAGTAAAAGGTGAAATGATCGATAAAGGAATAAAGTGGGAAAATAAAAATCGTGGAACCCAATTTTAAAAAATGTTCATATTCTAAGGACGACCCAAAAATGAAAGTGTATCTTATAAAATGGGACCAGGGACGGATCCAGGATTCTGAGTCAAGGGGGGCGAAATTTTTCGTTAGTGTAGGGGGTGAATTTTTTTTCGTTATTGTAGCGGGGTGAATTTTTTTCCCCTAGTGTAGCAGGGCGAAATTTTTTCGCTACTGTGGGGCTATGCGGCTATTTTTATTCAAAAAATGACATTAATACATGCACATCCCGAACGACATTTAAATCTAATACATTTTAAGTTTAGACGATGACAAAGACATCAACCAATACATTTTTAATAACTTCTACATTGTTTAACCTCATAAATCGGTTATTGAATTGTAATTTTTGTCCACCAAGGAGGGTGTTCGTGAGTCACCACTCATGAGAAGTTTTCTTAATATTACAATAGTAGTATACTAGTATGTATGAGATTGTTATTTTTAGAATAATGTGCACCACATACACACACACATATATGGCGCATATTATATTTTAATATTTTTATTAATTCTATAATAATTTAAAGTTTATTATCCATGCAACAAATTATTTTCAGAAACCAAGAAGTAAATGAATTATGTAATCTAATGTCTATAAATATTTATATTTTGGATTCATATCACGTGATCTAAAAATTGTGTAATTAATGTGTCTGGTATTTAATATTGTTTGATATATGTTTTACAAAATCCAGTACTTGTTATCTAATAAAGATAATTAAACATTACAAAACTAGGAATTCTTATATAATAAGTATCCTAAATCTTAAATAACGAGTTACTCTATTGTTTATTTGTTTAAGTTATGTAAATTATTTTAGATGTTTATTCTTTCAAATCTCCAATTAAGTATTACATTATGTAAGACTATATACTAACTTTGAAAATTAAAAGCTAAGGGGGGCGAATCTAATTAAATTATAAAAGTTTTATGAAAATATTACATATATGGTAAAAAAAATTGAATGTCCAAGGGGGGCGGTCGCCCCCCCCGCGCCCCCCCCTAAATCCATCCCTGAATGGGACGGAAAGGTATTAATCTTCCAGTTTTCCATTTTCGCCCGTCCCAAAATAATCTGTCTTTTTTAGCAAAGAATTTGCACGTAGTTCACATTATTTGTACGTCTTCCCTTTTTCTTTTCTCTGCATAGTTTTTTACCACACAATTACTAGTTTCTTAATCATTATACACAAAGCTATTTGAGAGATTACATTGAAACCGAGGGAGTAGTAAGTTAGAATAATCGCTATTTGAATACATATATTTGCGGTGCAAGTTTTTCGGGTTTTATATATGTCGGGTCTGTTTTCAAGAGAGAAAATTGAATGAAGATGTGAATGTATCATATCACAGCACATGCATTCGAGATTTTGATTAAGTTGCATACTTGGAACTGTTGGAAGAAATTGAATGAAGTCAATATAATACGCAGTATTGAATAGAAAATTGAGTAAATATACATTTTTTTAGCATTAAATAAGAAATAAATTTGACTTTACTGTGGAGCGCACTGTTTGAACATTGTTTGGCACTGTTTGAACACTTTTTGGCACTGTTTTGGTGTAAATCATTTGCCAAATAAGGAAAAGTTTGAAGTAGGAACTTTAATATGGACCATCTCAAAATGGAAAGTAGGAACATAATTACGGGACGGGGGAGTATGTTCTACGTACGTAGGCACGACGTATGTAGCTAGCTAGTTTAGGTGGGAAATATGCGATATTAATTTGCTCGATAGGAATAGTACACATTTTTTATTTTTTTAAAACAGTAGTGTAGGTCAGGATATTGCATTGCCAGGGTCCAGTACTCCAGTTAAGCTTTTCTGAGTTTTTCAATAGTGTGATTTATTAGTTTTTCCGTGAAACTAGCTATGCATAAGAAACAAGAAGGGCATGAAAATTGAATGGCAAGGTGATAAGGACTCATAAGGGGTAATAACCAGGTAACTGTATGAGCTACTTTAATTAATAGGCGGGGGTGGCAGTTGAGGCCTTGGAGGTTTCAATCAAAATAGAGTTAGCTGACAACGTACAACAACATAATTAGGGAAAAAGATGGACAAAAGTTGATGCCTCCATTGTATTTTATATAGGGGCAATTCACTAAATAAGAGTAAATTAAAGCAAACTTGCAATAATATAAACATGATGTTTAAGAGCCCGTTTGGTA